TTCTTCAATTTCCTCATATATGTTTTGTTTGGGTTTATGTAATTGATTTCATTTGTAGCCAAATTAACACCTTCTTTGTTTATTTTTTTATTTATAAATATAGTGATTAGATTCTTCAGTTCTTCAGAATTCAGGGCTTGGATAAATTTTTCTGCGCTGTCTGGAGTCCATTTGTATCTCTGCTGGACCTGATACATGTTGCAGGTTTGCAGCTTGTTTTGTTCTGCTGTGTGATTGGTTTTGATATAAATGTTAGTTTGGTTATGGTCAGAAAGTGGAGTTTGCTGTTTGACAGTGAATGCACTGAAGGAGGACGGGTCCATGTCAGTGATGGCATAGTCAACTACACTAGCTCCAAGACCTGAACAACACGTGAACCTCCCTAAAGAGTCCCCTCTGATCCTGCCATTAAATATGTACAGGCCTAAAGCTCGGCAGAGGTACACTAACTCTGAACCATTTTTATTTACAGTTTGGTCAAGATTATTTCTCAGTGGAATTTTTCTTGTGAGACTCAGGGAGTTTTGGCCAAAGATATATTCATTGTCCTTTGGATCTATGTTATCGGGTTCAGATCCAGTTCTTGCATGAAAGTCTCCACACAGCAGCACATTTCCCTGGGCCTGGAAACGGCTGATCTCTGTGTGGATGTTGTTCAGGTATTCCTCATCATGGTAAGGGGATTCTGCTGGGGGAATATAGATGACACAGAGATATATGTCAGTAGTTGAAATGCCAATTTGGTTGTTTAGTTTTAACCAGCAGTGAAATTTTCCAAATGTAATAATAGAAATGTGCTTGGCCAGAGCTTCCCTGTACCACACCAGCATTCCTCCTGAGTCTCGTCCACGATGCACTGTACTTAATTTAACTGAGGGCACAATTACTTCATAGTAGCCTGAGGGACAGTAGGTAAGCATATCATTTCTACACCAGGTCTCGGTGAGAATGATAATATCAGCGTCTTTGGTATTTTTCTGAAATTCTGGGTCTGTGCTTTTAGTACCAAAAGTTGAAGAATGAAGACCCTGGATATTCCAACAACTTATATGAAATGAACGCATAAAATTTTTAAAGATAAACCTGGTTGGTAAGACAGAGAGAAAATAACGTGAAGCTAGTGTACTTATGAAAACGTGCATGGCAAACAATTTACATTAGTATTTTTTTATTTTTGTTGTTGTGATTTTTATTATTAATTTTTTTTTTTTTTTTTTTGAGCACTGTGTTTGTGCATATTGTCCT